TTGTGAAATTCATGGCCCCAGGGACAGGAGTTCTGGTGCTAGGGCGGGGCTATATAGATCCTGTAGTGAAGGTGAATTATTTCTTTGAAAATCTTCTCTTCTATTGATTATAAAGTGAAAAAGCAAAATTTATTTGAAAATATTCCTTTCTGCTTCTGGTTAAAAAAGCAATGAAGCTAAGTGTATAGTTATGATGAGCAAGAGTGCTTCTTCCAGAGTAGTGAATTTCATGACCCCTGGGTCAGATGTGCTGGTGTGAGGGTGGGGCTCTTGATAATATAGTAAAAATGCATTAATTCTATTAAATAATCCTGTTTGCTCCTTGGTGTTAAGCAGATAAACAAAGTGATTAGTTATGATGAGCAAACTTATGGTCCCAGGGTCAGAAGCTCTGGTGTTGTGGGGTGGGGGGGGGGGGGGGGCTCTATTGATAATATAGTGAATCTGTAGTAAAAATGCATTATTATTTTAAAAATCTTCTCCGCACCTGGGCATATCAGAGGCAAAAAGAGTAAAAGTTTTAATAAGGAAGATTATTTTTACCAAATTTTTGAACATCTGGACCATTTGGTCAAGCGTTCTGGTCCTGGCCAGGGCTCTATTATTTTGTATTCTACTGAGAGGAGTTATTCCCCTTTGCCATTTACTTTTGATAATTTATCACTGTAAATAATGTACTTGAAAGGTAAATAGAATAAGATAATTATGCAAAAACTTTTATTGTATAATACAAAAAGTACTTTCATAGTTTTAATGATCAGATAGACTTGTAAGTAGTAGATAAATAAAAATGAGACAAAAATAACTTGTCTTATTAAATGTTCATCAAGGACCAAGAGAGGCCAATGTAAGAAATTTCAACAAAGGATTAAAATAGTAGAGAAGCATTGATAATTTGTTAATATACTGTATGGTGATAGTGATAAATGGGGATCAGATTTATAGAACATAATTTATAAACTGTTAATGAATATTAAGACCAATTATTTTGTTGATCATGATCACCCTATTTTTCTTACTTTTTGGCAACAAAGTTTCACCTTTCAGTTCATATTATACTCTATGCATCCTTTAAATTGTTGTATCATACTCAGGTGACCGTTAAGGCCCTTGGGCCTCTTGTTCTACGTTATTTTGCCTGAATCTTAATTTCAAATAGTCTATAAATCATTCTTTCTACCTTATTTTCCTGAATCTTAATTTTAGAGAGTTTATAAATAACTTTTTCTACCTTATTTTCCTGAATCTTAATTTTAGAGAGTTTATAAATAACTTTTTCTACCTTATTTTTCTGAATCTAAATTTTAGAGAGTTAATAAATAATTCTTTTCTACCTTATTTTCCTGAATCTTAATTTCAAATAGTCTATAAATAATTCTTTTCTATCTTATTTTAATGAATCTTAATTTTAGAGAGTTTATAAATAATTCTTTTCTACCTTATTTTCCTGAATCTTAATTTCAAATAGTCTATAAATAATTCTTTTCTATCTTATTTTAATGAATCTTAATTTCAAATAGTCTATAAATAATTCTTTTCTACCTTATTTTCCTGAATCTTAATTTCAAATAGTCTATAAATAATTCTTTTCTACCTTATTTTCCTGAATCTTAATTTTAGAGAGTCTATAAATAATTCTTTCTACCTTATTTTCCTGAATCTTAATTTTAGAGAGTTTATAAATAATTCTTTTCTACCATATTTTCCGGAATCTTAATTTCAAATAGTCTATAAATAATTCTTTTCTACCTAATTTTCCTGAATCTTAATTTTAGAGAGTCTATAAATAACTTTTTACTACCTTATTTTCCTTGTACCGACTTAGGTCTGTTATGCAGTATTCTTTGAACAATTTGTCGTAGTATTTCTTGGCTAGCCTCTTCTCCCTGTCAAAGTACATCTAGCTTTCATTAAATACTTACATGCATATATTCCACAAGATTTTGAATTTTCAGTACATGTGTTTACAATCAATTTTCACTGGACCTCAGACTTAAGTGTCTGGGACATGTATGTTTCATTAAACAAGATGAATTTGTTAATATCCACATTTCTATATATCCCTCAAATAAAAAGCATGTCACTCCCAATGCAGCCAATGACTATTACTCATGGTACAGTATCTCCATCTTTGTTACAGTAAGATTTTTTATCTCTGCTTTCAAATATGATAGGTCTCTCAGAAGGAGATCCAATATCTTTTTTCCAACATTTTTCTTCTCATGATGAGAGAAGAAATACACGAGAGGACCTCCTTCAGTGACTCACCATGTATCAGCTTCATCCTCATTCCACAGAAATTTGTGATGTTCTTTAATCACATCCATGTCTGTCTTGTCTTTGGAACTATACAAATAGAATGCCCATATTACATGTATATAGGAATGTATTTAAATCAATAAGAGTATATTCTTCTAAAACAATTTCACATACATTTTTTTTAAAAAAAAGTAAAAATTAAACTTCTACTTTGTATTCAGTTATATGCACAGTTGAACTTTGTCATCTTGAACATTGATCTCAAATTCTTAATTTGTCTTAAAAGTCTCCTTTTTTCCCAATTTGTTTAAAGCATTTTTTACTTACTTGTCTCTTTTGAAGAATTTTTCTGATCCTCCATAATACTGAATGTAATCATTCACATACTTCTTATGTCTGGTGTACTAGATTTGTTAAGACTATAAACTATATCCAGCATACACTTTTAATGACTTGACTTGAAAGGCTAGAGTCACAAATGGGTCATTTTAAGAATCATCTGAAATTTTTGAGGGGCAGTTTTTAAAAATAATTTAAAAGTTTTGCAACTAAATTTTATTTGAATAGTCAATTTCCTGGAGAAAACAAATCAAAGGCAAAAAGATTTTCTTTGTTTTTTTTCTGTGAGCTGACATAAAGGATACTCCAGCATGCTAGAGGTTCACGGCAAGATACTTTTGGCTCGACACCGCAGTATATAAGGAGCATAGGGATGTTAATCAAGGCTCTTACTTGTTGGAGTAACCCTAAGGATATCTGCTCCTCAGACATGAATTCTAACTCTTAAATTTATTATTTATTTAAAAAATCTCAAAATGAAGCTTTAAACTGAAATCTTTTAGTGCAATAATTTTCACTTCATGTATCTCAATATGACTCAAGATTCTTTGAACTCGTAGAAATGGTCTAATAAAAAAATTGACAATTGTGCCCAATAAAAGCATAAAAATAAATGTTCATTTGGTCAATTGTTGAGACAGTTGTAAAACACCAATAAATTACCAGAGTTTACAAGTTAAAAGGAAAGGGAAAAGAATTTATGTATCTTAGTTAAAGAAATTTGCCTTGCACTAAAGTAAATTTTTCACAGATTATGAATTATAAATGTTTCAGATTTTACATTAGTCATAGTAATAATAAGGATACTGCATCCATACTGAGGATTTGCATTCTGTGAATCTTGCCTTCCTCCCTGAAAAAGAACTTGAAAAAGGTAATTCATGTCTTAGGGTGAGCATTATTCATTCACAAAGAAACTATAGCCATCATACCTCCCATACTCGTCTTCCAGTTCTCGTTTGTTGGCGACCTTTTCTGTTGTCTTCTGACGCTCAGGTACAAGATCATGTCTTCTGGACCTTTGTTAATGTGAAAGGTACAACAGAAATCAGAGCAAATATTCATAGTATACCTCTACTGAATCACATATCACTTTGATTATCATATTTAATATTCTCTGATTGCAATTGAATGAATGTGTGCATAATATATAGCAAAATCTCTTCACTTTAGTGAAATCAAATAGGTATATAAAATATATCTGACTCATGACCAAAGCTATTAAGCTGAAAAAAAGAATAAAAAACATCCTAGGCCTAAATGAAAGTTAAGTTGGATTACGGTTTATCAGGTCCAGTACAATCAGTACATTTAGCTACATAGCTAAAATTACCTACCGTAGCTTTATTTACCTACCTCAGATAGCTTTATTTAGCTATTTCAAGGCAATTTTTCACAATTTTGCTTCTTATTTTAAAAAGACAAAAAGTCGCAAGTAAATGTCTACTTATATTATTTAAAAAGCAATGTAAAGCAGAGATAGTTTTAACATTGCTGTGTTTGAACACTTTTAAGGAAAATATGTATTTCCATTGTTGAGTAACTGTACACCACCTTGTGTGTGATGAGGTGTGGATAAGTATGATTACTTCACACTGTGCTCATGTTAACCAACTGGTCTTCTTTGTTATTTCACTCAAGAAGAAACTGTTAGATCACAAATTAATTGTGTTTATAGCCCCAAAACCTTTAGAACTTTGATTGCAATTGCGATGAAAAAGACACATCTCCAAGAGTGATTTTTTTCATTAATTGTTTTCAGATGAGTTCAAAGTTGAAAATTATCACTGCATCAAAGTGCAATTTTCTGCACTTTCTGGGAAAAATGCTAATTTAAGAAATAAGTTTGATTTAGTAGCTAAATAAAGCTACTTCAGGTAGGTAAATAAAGCTATGTAGGTAATTCAAGCTACGTACATGTAGCTAAATCTAGTGATTGTACCAGGCCTGTTTATGCCAAAATATACTTGCCTTCTTTCCTTCTCTGCATCAGAATCGAAATCTGAGGTGTAACCACCTCCAGTATGAATCTGTGGGGTGAAAAAAGTATATTATAAAAGACGCCAGTTCAGTCTATTTAAAGTCTATTCATGAAACATGTCTGATGCCTACCCGAGAGAAGTCTATGCTCTCCTCTGACATGTTGTTTACAAATTAAACGGAAGTGAAATGGATTTACCCATTAAAGAAAAAGGGGTAGAATTTCTATACACTTAAAAAAATTCAATAATTAGGGGAAAACCCCATATAGAATTGAACTTCTTTAATATTTTTTAATTTAGCAATATGCTTGCATTAAATTCATCATTTCCTCTGAAAAGTTCGAAGCATCATTCCATAAATGAATTTGGTGTTATGTAAACGACCCCCTTTGAGCGGACGAGTTCATTTATAACAAAAAAGATGGCTGCGCCCACAATCTGTGTTCCAGGTACTGACAATTTTTTGATCTCGTTGATTTTAGAAGTCTTTCATAAACACGAAAAATTCAGGAAGTACAAATCATTTCACAAAGGTTTACTCACCGATTTTTAATCCCATAAGTATGAAAGAGGTTATTTTTTACATGTATATTGACATTCTCACGGTTCTGTTCAAGACTGTCGTGTTTATTGTTTTTCGTGCCCGATTAAAATTGACAGGTATGTCATCTCAGTACTTTTGTCTAAATGAATATATTATCACTTCTTTCATACTATTTTTAAAATATCTCACTTCTCATTTGTCTGCTACTGGCAAAGAGGCTTGTCACAGTTAAAATATTTGCCAATTGATGATCTTTATGTTGTCACCTCCAAAGGCACTCCCTATGTATTATTAGTAAATTTCTGTAAATGACAAGATAAGTACAGTAAAACTCAATTATAACGAAGTTACTGGGATATGTGAAATTACTTTGCTATATCTGTAATTTGCTATATCTGTATAAGGAATTCGTAAAATTTATTTAGCTGGGGATCCAAGAAAACTTCGCTATATCCATGAATTCACAATATCAGTGTTCATACTAAACAAATTTTACTGTATTTATATAAGTCCACCCCTATACTGTAGTATAGACGGGTAGATCTCTATATGTATCTGCTTGCTTGAAAAGTTTCATGCAATATCAAAAATGTTTAGACTACCCCATTTAAGATCTTGTGAACGCATGTAAATCAGACCACTCACTGAACAGGTTGTCTAGCTGAAACATTCTTTTGAAGATATTAAAATGAAGTGAGGCAAAATTTTGCCCAATTCTTAATTTGACACAACAATCTATTGCAGGTCGCTAATGCTAGAACCCAAAAAATGAAGCATGAGGATGAGAGAGTCATGTATTTGCAATTATAAACAAGATGTGTCTGTGAAACACTGATGCCCCCGTATGGCAACTCATATCAAAGGTTAAACTTTCTCAAATGCAAATCAAATATGTTGGTACCGAAAGTAAGGTCTTGTCTCGAGGAGTATACCTTTGAAATATGAAAACCCTAGCAGAAACCATTGAATAGATATGGAAAAAGGTTAAAGTTTTTCAAAAGTAAGTCAAACATCAAGGTCAAGTTCAAATGGTCAAAATTAGTGGTGCCCAATGAAAGGTGTTCTAACAAGAAATATACATGTAAAATATGACAGCCCTGGCACCAACCATTCAAAAGTTATGACCAAACTCCAAGGTGAAAGGGTCAAAGTTGTTGGTATCCAAAGAAAGGTCTTGTTACAAAGATTACATATGTGAGGTATCAAAGCCCTAGCACCAACCATTTAAAAGTTATGGCCAAGGTTTAAGTTTTGCAAAGGTAGGTCAAACTCCAAGGTCAAGGTCAAATGATCAAAGTTGTTGGTATCCAACGAAAGACCTTGTCACAAGGATTACATGTTTGAAGGATGAAAGCCCTAGCACTAAGTGTTCAAAAGTTATGGCCAAGGTTAAAGTTTTTCAAAACAGGATCACACTCCAAGGTCAAGGTCAAAGAGTCAAAGTTTTATGGTATCCAAAGGAAAGTCTCATCACAAGGTATACACACCTGAAGTATGAAAGCCCTACCACCAACGGCTCAAAAGTTATGGCCAAGGTTAGCGTTTTTTAAAAAGTAGGTCAAACTCCAAGGTCAAGGTCAAAGGGTCAAAGTTGTTGGTATCTGAAGGAAGGTCTTGTCACAAGGTATACACATGTGAAGATTGAAAGCCCTAGCACCCACTATTCAAAAGTTATGGCCAAGGTTAAAGTCTGAAAAAAAAATGCAAAAGTGGGTCAAACTCCAAGGTCAAGGTCAAAAGGTCAATTTTTATGGTTCCCAAAGAAAGTTCTTGTCACAAGGAATACACATGTGAAATATAAAAGCCATAGCTCCAACCAATCAAAAGTTATGGGCAAGGTTAAAGCGTTTGCGGACAAACAGACAGACAGACGGACGTTCAGGGCAAAAACTATATGCCCCCGAATCTTCGATTACGGGGGCATAAAAAATCATTTGTGAAATTTTTGTCTTCATTCACTGGTAAACTTGGCCACTGAAATTCATTAGAATACTGTAGACATACTTTTTTCCTCTTGGGATTAATTTCTGCTAAGTATGCTTCACATTTTTCAATTCAGTTTGTCACAGCATACTTAAGTAGGGTTGTCCCTAAGACCCTGGGGCCAGGGAATTTCCCCACCTATAATGATGTAATTCCCCACTTATTTTGGTATTCCTCCTTAACTCCCCATCAGGGGAGGAACCCCAGATCCCCTTCTACTTTTTAAATGTCCCATTCAATTTCAATTCTTAGGGATAACCCTGCTTATGATTTATTAATCAATTAAGGACATACGACAACAATCCAAAAAATCCACCTAATTTTCTACTCGCGGATATATCTGAAATTGTGATTCTGTGGAATTATGACCCCGTGGAATAAAGTATGTTTACAGTAGTTAAAATGTATGTGATGTATATTAAAAAATATAAACTATTTCAAGACTTTTGATAATTTAATATAATGTCCTATTATGCAAAATACAGTTATGCTATGTTAGCAATCTCTCAAATTTGGATAATCTGATTAAGGTGTCTTACTACATTGACCTTATTAGATTATTGTAATGAGTATTTTCCATTGATGATTTTCAAGGTCAGAGGATTTGTCGTTTAGAGGAGACTTGTGAGGGAGGCAGTGGTACTTACTCCAGGAATGGCTATATCTACTCTAGTCTAGCTGGCTATCTACAGACTTCTCAAAATGAGGATGGAAAGGTATATTCTACTTTGAAATGATATAATAGGGTTGTACGCACAAACTGCATGGTTAATGGCCTTAGAAATCCACTCCTCTATTGGCATTCCTAAGGAAATCACTAACTTACGTTCACTTTTCATTCACAGTCACGTGTATTATATGCTGCAGCATTTTTTGAAATGTAGTATTTTAAGTAAAACAAATTATTATCTAACAAATAAAAGAAATGAGATGGGAATTTCCAGTATTTTTATATAAATATTGGCAAGGACAGTATGTGTTAATTCTTGTCATGAATTTCAGTCACTTATTCAAGTGAAAACACAAGAAGAACAGAATATTGTTCCCTCATTAGATGCCATTGTTACAACAAGGGTATGCATTTTAAATCTTTATATTTCAAATAAAACAAAGTGTGCAGCATTATGCATCAAACTGTGTCTGTTGCAGGATACTGCTTTTATCCGTCTAGTGTAGCACACATATAGATGTATGTAGCTTCTTTTGACTATTTCAGATAACAAATGTCAACCCTAGATTCTGTAAGTGTATGATTCTCAGTGTGGGAAAAATTCCATTAAAGGAGCCATTCAGGGGACAAATTAGGTAGGAAGAAGGGAATTTTAAATGACCTAAAATATCAAACTTTGAGTCAGAAGAATCTCTGTACACAGTAAATATAATCAAACTTCTTTTTTGTTGCATGTATTAAGGAAAGAGGATGTTCGTGCAACAGGAAAAGATAAGGTATATGTGTATCATTTTGATGACATTCAACTTTTTATATATTTTAAGTCATGATATTCTAAAAATTATTATATGATATGTCAATAATGCAGAATATTTACATTGTAGGTGGAAATGTACAAATGTTTCAGACCTGGAGATATAGTTGTTGCAAGAGTTGTATCCCTTTGAATCACAATTTGAATTTTATCAATAAACATTTTACATGTATAAAGTAAGGATATCTGTTACTTTCTAAGAAATAATTTCTTAATGTGTAGTAGCTTTCATTAGGAGATGCCCATTCTTACCTACTCAGCACAGCAGAAAATGAATTAGGGGTTGTTATGGCAACAAGCGAAGCAGGTACGTTGTATATCAATCTAATTAAAATCAGACTTCTTAGATCCGTGCCGTATACACTCTGCATAAGAAGATCTGACATTACGCAGAGTGTATAAGGTGCAGATCTAAAAAGTCTGATTTTAATTAGATTGATTGTATATCTGCAAAATTGTTATCAATAGTGTTGTACGTAATTTAAGTTTTGAAGTAATTTGTTCAGTTGAAGTAATTTTTATATTTTTTGTAATTACAAACAGGGGCCACCTTGGAACCAATCAGTTGGTGCAAGATGAAATGTCCAAAAACATTGGCAGAGGAGTTCAGGAAGGTCGCCAAAGTTCAACCTAAATATGTACAGTATGCTGGAACTTAATAAAAACAAACAAAACATGAAGTTGTCTATCTCAGTTTATCCAGCATGTATAAAAGAAGTCAAAGTAGAATGATATAGATGCTGTATAAATTTATTGTGGGAATTCTTTGATCAAATCAATTTTTCTTAACAATTGCATTGTTGAATGGACAAAATGAATGAATCCTGTTTGATCAGTTAATAGTTTAATGGTGAATTAACATATTCATCTTGAGGACAAAATTGAAGACTTTTTTTCCTGCCACCATCTAATTCAGTCCCACCATTTACAATAGATACGTTTGGATGGCGCATTATAATATACATGTGAATCCAACTTTAGATGTTAAAATGAGTGTAGCAGGGGCTCTAATCTACATGTGATCTATTTTGCAATTATTTTGACAAGGACTGATGATATGGGATAGGTATAACATGTACATGCAGGGTTCTCCACATTTGAAAATTTAACCATGGAGGAAGCTGCGCGAAGGCGCAATGCGACCAAAAACACGAATGCATGTTAGACTTCCTAACCTTCATTAATCAATTGGTTAATTCCCAAAACTTAACCACTGCAGCACAAAAAGTTGAAATAACCAATAATTTTTTAAGCTAAAAAATTAAAAAGGATTATGTATCTTAATTACTCTACAAATGTACCAAAATTGGTCCAAAACTGTAGGAACATTTTGAAGGAATTTCAAAATAATGTTTTGATAGAGTAACCATGGCAACAGTTTTCAAAAACTGATATACAGAATTGATGTTGCCTGTTATATAAAAAGTTTTATTTAAATATGACAAAAACTGATGAATTGGTAGTACTTAAAAAAAAAGTTAACAGACACACAAACAAACGAAAGCCGACATCCTACTAATGCCTAAGCTTTTTTGAACAGCATGATCTATGAAAACTTACTGGTGGCATACATGGTAAAAGTAACTTAGTATAACCGGGGGCATTAATTTGCATTAATGTAATTTTGCTTTCTCTATTCTGTCTTTCTCTAAACGTTATTAAGGTCTTCCGTTTCCAACGGAAGACCTTCTACTGATTCTGATGGTTAAGATTATTATTAAGGTCTTCCGTTTCCAACGGAAGACCTTCTACTGATTCTGATGGTTAAGATTATTATTCTTTTTTTTTTTCTTCTTTTTCCTAGACGCCAACTTTGAGACCTCATATCTCGCTCATTTCTCAACGGATTTTGCTCAAATTTGCAGAGTTTATAGACGTTACAAAACTCTATCAGAATGCTGTCAAACAGTTCAAAAAGTCACTTCCGCTTTTGAGTTATTGCCCTTTAAATGAAAATTTATTAGGCTTCATTTCCAGACAAAGGCTCCGAGACTACAAAAGCTGGAGCAGAAATTCTACCGAATTTAGATAATAGAAGGATTGAAGTTGTGCACATCGGTTTTTGTTTTTCGATTTCTGTATTCAAAATGGCGCTAATTAGGGGTCAAAATTTAGAACGCCTAAAAGAGCGAAAATTTAGACATATTTTCCTTTGTATCTTTAAAACTAAAAATATTTTGATAAGACATGTAGAATAAAAGTTGTGCACAATTTCAAGGCCTTTCATTTGACACCACTAAAATGGGGCTGGCCCCTCAAATTAGGGATCTGGAGCCCTTTAAAGTTTTTGCTTTATAACTCAAAAACGGTAAATATTTCGAAATGGCTGTCGTTAAAAAAGTTGTTCTTTAACATCTTATTGATTTCATGAAAATGTTATTTTGTTCGAGTCTTGTGTTTTAAATGCGCCAGAAGCTTGACCCATTTACAGGTAACTGTTTTCATTCAGCAAGTAAACGAGAGCTCTTCATGCGTGTAACTAAAATAAACTTACTATAAATAATAAATCTGGCTACATTAGATGCTAATATTCTTTAGAATAAGGTTCTTGAAGTGTTTTGTGCTTTATTTCCAAGTTATTTTTTGACAACTTTTCGTTTTATTTCATTTTTTTTAAAGTCGAATAAACCAGTCTACTAAAAAAAAGGGAAAAAAGATAACCTTTTATTCTTATCAGATAAAAACAAACAATATACTGAGAAAATAAAACATAACTTTGAAGCATAGACTATTTACAGCCATTAAGTGTGCGCCTTTTACATTCACCTTGTGTGTTTGCAATTATGTAACACCTCCCTCGATAGCGCGTAGCAAAGGAGGTCACCGGGGATCGATCGGCGTGTGTGATCCAGCGACCTAGTCATACAAAAAACAAATCATAGAATGGCCATTCCAAATTCATTTTGTAAACTAAGTCATGAGTGGATAAATATGTTGAATTTTTCAGATTATTTCATAATATCTTTCATAAAATCGCTAATGTATTTTATTTAATAATTTTTTCGCTGAATTACAGGAAAGTTGCATAGTTATTTTTATAAACAATTTATTTCTCGATATCGAGTTAATTGTCTGTTTTATTCATAATAAAATTCAAAATATGTAACCTTAATTAATTCCTACTAGTAATGGAACTTTTGAAACTTAAATGTACATGTATGTAATCTAATATACGTTCTTTTGTCGACGCCCTTAAAATGTACAACTGTATATATACAAAGCGCCCCAAATATATGCATATCGAGCGTATGGAAATACAAAATCCCACATTCACACGCGCCTCCAAAATATGTAGAATGAGACATACATGTGTAACTGTATTTGAATATTACAAATTTATTAGACACCTAACCTTGAACAAATTATTTTTTTCTACTAAACTTGTTATTGTATGCGAACAAAATGAAAAACATGTAATTATTTATAGGTTCCCATTATTTTTTCTGAAAATCAGAACACATTTATCAGCTCTCTTAAGGTTTTACGGATACATACAATGTACACGCATGCAAGTACAGAACATGCACGTTTTATAAGTGCATAATGCAAGAGCGCCCCAAATATATGCATATCGAGCGTTTGAAATTCAGAAAAATTCTAAATCCCAAGTCTTTTTTTCCCATTATCTTTGCAATAAAATATCAGTTAAACTGAAATGATTTTATTGATTTACAGCATATATTAAAGTCAATTATAGGTCAGCTGAGTTGATCATGAGTTGTTTTCATAACGGGTAGTCCTTCTGGCCAGTCATCGTCACGGTTTGTAACATCGTAATTACACAGGTAAATACTAAGATGTTCCATAAGAAATGAATTACCGGGAGATGTCTCGTTTTCTCTGATCATATATTAATTGACAGCGTTTATGAACAGCTGTTAAATCACAGGCCTTTGTAAACCGGTAAATCACAAAAAAGAAAAATCCGAGACAAAAAACAGAAAATATATATGTCTCTGGAAATAACATTGCCTTTAGATAACTAAAATAAATTAATGTCCGCCGATTTTTGAATTAATCTGAACATTCATTGATGTGTACCTGTACAAGCAGTGTGTATATTTTTATGAAGCCTTCGTCCAAACGAACAATATCATAAATCTTGAATGAATTAACTAACCCCTCAGTACACACACATTCGCCTACACCTGAAATCTAATCAAAATCAGATCTTTTTTACGACCCGAAATTCTGATAGTCGCTGTATTTCTAATCTGATTGACTATACATGTACAGTACATGCAACGCGGATCCCGTATTTCCCGCGCCCCGTCGCGGTATAAACACAACGCTGGATTTGGCCAGGTGAGACTGGTAAACCGCGTTCCCTCCGCGGGAAATTCATCACTTACCTGTCCCCGCCGCGGTTAAATCATCGATCAACTAGTATCGTAAACAAACGGGAGTTATCTCCCCGAACAGGAATAATTCCCTCTTTAAAAAAAAACAAATTAAAATCCCGCAGTGTATGTATATTTATGAAAGTATTTTCTTGTATTTCGAAAAAGGTGAAAATAATGAATGAACAAAAAAAAAATGTAAAGCAGAATATATTTAATCGTTTTTTTTAAAATTTTATTTATTATTATTAATTTTGTTAAGTTATATATCAATACTAAAGCGACATCTTTTTTAAAATAGTATCAAGAAAACTATTTATAAGCTGAGTCATTTGAGAGTTTAACGTGACAAACTTTAATGTCGGAAATATAAGTTCTAATAACTTCTCTTTTCAAATTATATGCGAACTGCAATGTTACATACACGTGCTAAACAATAGTCAGTGCGAGTTCCGATTAACAGTTTTCAGCATTCCTATGAGGAAGAAAATATATCTATATACTGTTCATGTTGTTTTTTTTTTTACCAAATTTAGAACAATATAATTCATTTAAATAATTTCACTTTACTGTATTAATGTGCAAGCATTTCCCTGAAATTGTTGAATGACCGGAAAGCTGTAATATTCGATGTTGAGCGTTTGCATTGAGTAGGCGCGTGAACGTTATAAAAGATATCAATAAAATATAACAATTTTTTCCCTCGATATTTACTTCTTTTGTAAACAGTGGTTTTTAATTTAAACATTTCTCCAATTACAGAAGATGGAATGTGCATGGTGATGAACTTCACAAAACAATTAAAACGGGGGGGGGGGGGGGGGGGGGGGGGGGTATATCACTAAAACTTATTATTCTCAATAATACTCAAGAAAAAAAATCAATGCCAAGTTTACTTGAATATATTCTGTTTCTTTGTGTATTAAGTATTAGTCGCGATCATTTCCTGTGTATAGGGATTAGCAGAGCAAGAGCAGGAAACGGCATGCCCTAGGGGTTCCACACCTGTCCTAGAGTACCTGTGGTAAATTTCTCTGCATGTGCAAGGCGTTGTCTAGCCATACAACACACCAGTCCCTTCAACGTTTCATTATTTCATTATTTCTTCATTTTCAAATGTAACTATAACCATGAAAGTTACGCGGGTCAATATATACTTTTTTTTACCCTGAGTGTATGTTAAAAGGAAAAAGATCAATCATACTTTTAAAACAAATTAATAGAGTTTAAATGAAATAAAATAGATCAAATCAAATTATGTTTTATAACTTTTTTTTAAATGCCGACGAGCTTGGTATTTATGTTTCTGTTTAATATATATGTACATGTACATGTGCATA